TTTTGTTTTTCTTACAAAAAGGCTAAGAACCTGTATTGGACAGTCCAGTCTTTTCATTAAAGCTGCAGGGAAGGTTGGAAACCCAGTGTGTCAGGTCACGGGTGCCGCTGTCTCACAGATGGGCCTCACAGACCTTCAGTCCCATCCCCTCCAGGGCTTGCTGTGCAGAGCTAACAGGCTCCCTACAGTGCCTGATGTAGCTGGGACCTCTTCCCCTCTACCCCCTCACTAGAGTAGATGCCCCCCCACCATCCTTGAGTCCAGACGCCTGACTCTGGGCACACTTATTAACCGAACCTGCTGCTTCCTGGAGTAGGACCCTGAGACCCTGTCTCAGAATCCTCTAAGAATGATGCCTTACTATGTCCCTCTCTCCCTCCCTCTATCTCCAGACCCTAGCTACACCATACTCCTGCCTGCCTATGGCACTAATAATACCTAATAAAACTTTCTTGAAGGATGGTTCCTTTCTCCTCCACCACCACCCCAATTTTTTGTTTGTTTGTTTGTTTGTTTTTCTAAAAAATCCCCCTCTGTAGTCCAGGCTGGCCTGGTACTTACTAGGTAGACCAGGTTGGTCATGATTCTCCTGCCTCCGCCTCCGGAGTGCTGGAACTACAGACATGAGCCACCATACCTGGATTCTATTTTCTCCACAGACAAATTTAAATCAACCTGTGTGGTAGATGCTTGGTTTTGGACGGGTGTGGGGGTGCACGCTGTCAGTCTCAGCACCCAGGAAGCAGAGGCATGTGAGAGAGAGCCTAGCTCAAAAAACAAGCAAACCAACAGCCTGAGTCAGTTTAATGGGAAATGCATTTGCTAAATGAGTTATTTTAACTTTAAGGGATATGTGCTCTTCTGATTCCTGTACCATTTGCCACTTTCCAAAAGAGAAGACCTTTCCTGTCCTAAGAACTGGGGAGACATCAATGGCGCAGTTCTCAACCCTCAGCAGAGAAGTGCTGTGGGCTGCAGTGAACACCCAGATTCACACAGGTCAGAGAAGGCGCAGCTGCTTCCCAGAGCGTACCGGCCATCATCTGATCCTGCTCTTCCCTTTGCAAAACAAACCCCTGCGTTGTGGTTTAAGCTTCCATGGCTAAGACAAATCTCTTCTCTTCCTCTCTGCGCAGGGGACTAATGACAATATTATATAAAGTGATAAGCTGTTTTTTATTTGTGCCATGTGTTTTAAAGTGGCAAAATGCAGCCTACGGGTTTGTTCTTGAAAAATGAATGATATTTGGTCGCCCACAGCTTTGAACTATCCCTTCTGTCGTTGGCTTGTGTATCTTTAAACAAAACAAAACAAAAACAAAAACAGTGATGAGAAAAAACAAAAACAGGTAAGAGAAAAGGAAATAGTCAAAAAAACGACCCTCTCACCTCTTAGTGCCTGGCCCAAGATTAAATGAGGTTGGCCTGTCTTATGCTGCCATCTACTGGACATGCCTGCATCTGGGGGTAAGGGGGTATAAATTATCTCCCAGGTACTCTCCAAGGATACAAACCATATCGTGTCTCCTTACAATAACGTTTAATGCCTGGAGTCTGGACTGCGAAAGCAAAACCAAAGGGCTGAGAGAAGTCTGAAGCTAAAGGCTTGACTGGGCCTTTTCAGATGCCAACTAGAAAAAGGATCAAGTCCTAGGTCCTCCGTTCTCACGTTCTCGACCTCACAACCCTTTGGAGGTCAAATGGCTCTTTCACAGGGATCGTCTAAGGCCATTGTAAACATCATAAATTTACGTCATGATTCATAACAGTAGCAAAATTACAGTGATGAAGTAGCAACAAAATAATTTTATGGCTGGGGGTCACCACAACATGAGGAACTGTACTAAAGGGTCTCATTAGAAAGGTTGTGAACCACTGTGATGGAAATCTTTGCATCAGCAGCAGAGAATTGTCCACTAGACCCATAGCCAAGGAAACTTCGGTACATTGGAAGCTAAGATGCTGTTTACAGGGCCGGGCAGTGGTGGCGTAAGCCTTTAATCGCAGCATTCAGGGAGGCAGAGACTGGTGGGTCTCTGTGAGTTCAATGCCAGCCTGGTTTCCAGAGTGAAATCCAGGACAGCCAGGGCTACACAGAGAAACCCTATCTGGAGGCGGAGTTGGGGGAGGGACGACACACAATAAAGAACAAACAAAAAGACACTATGTTACTATGTTATCCACAGGGCTACTGATAGGAGAGGCAGAGACCCTGCTTGGAGGCAAAGTCCACTAATCCTAGCACCCAGGATGCTGCACCCTGAGGTTTGAAATACAAAGTGAGCTCTCCTTTCAAAAGGGGAAATAGGAGGGGAAAGGGGAGGGAGGGATAAAGGGGAGGGAAAACTTTAGGATAGAAGTGTTGGATCAGGAGCTACAGTCTCACAGACCAAGCCCAACCCCAGCAGCTGACAGGCACGCCCTCTGTGACCTTGCCATTACTAAACAGGTGCTAAAGGTCACCTGTCAACCAGAGTCAGCAGCGGCCTGAGGACAAGCAGGTACTCAGTGCTAACTGTGTGGCGTGGGGCTCTCCTCTGCTCCCTGAACCCATAAGAAGGGTGGGGCTCTCCTCTGCTCCCTGAACCCATAAGAAGGGAACCCCACTTTGCTCTGTGGAACCAAACGCTAAAATTCCCCCCATGCTGCCTGTAGTATTAAATAACTTCTAATAAGTCTGTTACCCACGTGAGCAGTCTGGGGCCGGCCAGACTCAGTGAGCGAAGGGACTGGCCATTAAGCCTGACTCCTGACTTAGATCCCAGGGACCCTCAGATGGGAGACGTGACTCCCACAGGTTGCCTCTGGGCTCTATACTCACATGCACACACCGAATTAATTAATTTAAAATGCCCTTACCCTCTGAGCCATCTCGCTGGCCCTACGGGTTGTTTTAAATACTATTAAGGTTGCTTTTTACATATACAACTTAGTCACCACTTTCTGTTTACAAGATTGGCGTTTTTCCATCCATGAGTTGCCTGGCTTTTATTCGCCTTCTTATAAGGAGTCTTTTAGAGGCAATATTTTCAACTCTGAGATATCTTTAGATGCTTTGGCATATGAATGAAAAGCACATCTCATTGTTTCTAAGGTGTGGGATTCCCTCCTCTACCTCCCAAAGTGAAGCCCTTGGATGAGTCTTCTGGTCCTTCTGGAACGTTCCATGTTGCACCTATGAGAATGACTTAATCAGCTCTCTAACTGAATTCACTTGGTTTCAGTTATATGCTTTCATCACCGATTTTAGGGTCAGATGGTAGGTGTGGGTTCGTGACGACTCAGGCTACACCTACAGGGGCTTCTTTCTCTCCCCACTGCTACAGGGAATGGCAGGCAGCCTATTGAGAGATTCCCTGGAACTCATAACCCTCTCTTCCCCAAAGGAATCTTCCCAACCCATCTATCCAAGCCCCTAAGCAATCGAGAGGTAGAGGTGACACGTACGATGACCATACACTAACTGCAGGACAGTGTGGTGGACACACACTAACTAAGGACAGTGTGGTAGACACACACTAAGGACTGTGGTGGACACACACTAACAACCATGTGATGGACACACTAACTAGTGTGATAAACACACACTAACAACCTTGTGATGGACACACACTAACAACCGTGTGATGTACATGCACTAACTAAAGGACGAATCTTGCCCCATCCCCTGTGCTCCCGTTTCCTCTCTCTTGCTGTGATACAACACTCTGACCTACAAGCAATTTAGAGGAGGGAAGGATTTGCTTAGTTTACACTCTCGTGACCCCAATCCAATGTTTGAGGCAAACTGGGGCAGGACTCTGGAGGAACACTGCTTGCTGGCTCACTTTCTGGCTCAAGTGGGAGGCTTGTGCTTAGGTAGCATTCTTATACAGTCCAGGACCATCTGCGTAGGGAATGGTGTCACCCACACTGGGCCAGGCCCTCCTCCACCAATTAATAATCTAGACAATCTCCCACAGGCTAAATGTCACCTAGGTGATTCCTCGTGATGTCTTTCCTCTCAGTGGCTAACTCCCCTACCCTGGCGACCTCTGGATTTTCAGCTTCCTGAGAATTTTGTATTAATGTCAGGCAAAGTTAGGCATACCAGAAAGTAGGTCACTCGATTCCTTTTAGAATGCAAGACCTCAGACCTTCATTGCGCCTTCACTCTCATGGGGTTGCATAGTGTTCCTCATTGCGCCAACATTATTCTTGAGGATGATGGGTAACATGACCACCCACTCTTAAGTCGGGGCTTAAGCTAAGAATCTCCCCAGTGTGCTGGATCATCACAGCTTCAGCTGTCAGTTTGACACAAGCCTGGCATTACCTAAGAAGAGGGAAGCTCAGCCAACAAACTGCCTCCATGTAAGCATATCTGTAGGGTGTCTTCTTGATTCGCGGTTGACATAGGAAGGTCCAACCCATTGTGGGCCGTGCCGTCTCTGGGCAGGTGGGCCTGGGCTGTACAGGAGAAGCAGCTGCACAAGCATGGGACTCAAGCATGTAAGCAGCATCTCCCCACGGCCTCTGCTTCAAGCTCCCACCCTGACATTCCCTGATGGCAGACTGCCACCTGTGGGCATTGCTTTTGGTCATGATGTTAGTCATAGCAACAGGGAACCAAACGAAGACACTCATCCTTGACTTCCAGCACTCAGGAGGCTTTATCTGTGTGGTTCTATAGGCTGTGGGGAGTGAGGGGGTGGGTTAGAAAAGGGGGAGATGGCCACTAGGTGAAGGGAGTGAAGGCAGATGTCAGAACTGGCCATTTGGGAAACTGGAGACGGTATTAACTAGAAACTGGCTGTGTTCTGAATCGGCACAAGCCCAACTTTAATTTTAAACGGTTGCCAGAGCAACACAAAAGTATAACATTTTTCCAGAGGCTGCCAGAGCAAAGAATCACAAACTTGAGAGCTTAAGTAACATAAATAGATCCTATCTGGCAAACAGGAAGCTGAATATGGAGTCTGAGACCAATGCTCCAGCAAGGGATGGGCTTCTCTGAGGGGTCTCCAGGGAACCTATAGATGTCCCCCTCCGATCTGTGCCTTCCACTGACATCTGTGTCCAGGCCTTTCCTTCAGATGAGGATAGCAGCCATCCATGCTGGTGGAGGCTCACTCTAGTGGCCTCATTTTAACTCAATCATTATTTAAATCCCTAACCCCCAAACACAGTCACGTGTTTCTTAAGATAAGCTCTCAAGTCGATTGGGCTGCCCTCAAATGTAGCCCAGGATGAAACTGGAACTCCTGATTCGCTTCCACCTCCCAACTGTTGGAATCACGTGGACATAGCCACATTCTGAAATAATAGGGGTGAGTACTTGAATACGTAAATGGGGGGGGGGGCACAGTTAAACCCTTAACATGCAAAAAGGCACTATTTCTAGAATATTCGTCCTGTAACTTTGCTTGCTTATCGCCCATATGTGCATGAGCTATAGAAACGATCCCTGAAAGTATAGTCTTTCACCCATGTATATGATAGGAGACTCCTCATGTCTGAATTCTTCCATTCACGTTCTGCATAAATCAGGAATATGTTGTTTATGTTGCTTTAAATATGCATTTGTGTGTGCGGTGCTTTGCCTGCATGTGCATATGTGCACCACATGCATGCCTCCTGGTGGCCACAGAAGCCAGAAGAGGACATCAGACTCCCCAGGACTAGAGTTACAGACAGTTGGTAGCTGCTATATGGTCTGGGAACTGAACCAGGGTTCTCTAGGAGGGAGCCAGTTCTTAACCACTGAGCCATCTCTCCAGGCCTCTATGTGTTCTTAATCCTATAAATGACGAGAAAAATTACTTGAGTATATGCCACCGACACTGTACTAGTGTATTAGTGGCTTTGATGCATGACTGTGATAGAATATCATGGCCAGAGAAACTTAAAAATGAAAGACCTTATTTTGATTTACAGTCTTAGAGGGAAAGAGTCTATCATGGCAGAAAAACACACAGAAAGAAGACAGAGACAGAGAGAACAGGAAGTGGGGTGAGGTTCTCCGCCATGAAAGCCCACCACCAGTGACATACTTCCTCCTGCAAGGCTGCACTTCCTAAAGACTCCATAACCTCCTCCAAACACCACTAACTGGGGACCAAGTGTTCAAAGACATGAGGCTGTGAGGGGCATGCTCATTCAAACCACCATGGGAAGAATGATGGATCTTTTATTGGAGGGAAAAAGTCACTTGGCCTCGGGGAACCAGTTTTTTACCCAGGAGGTGGGGTGGTTGACAATGGCTTTGTCTTGTTTCTCTGTCTCTGAGACAGAATGCCTGACAGCCTCAAGAAGGGATGATTTCTCTTAGTTCATGGCTTCAGGGGGTTTGGGTCCATCGCGGAGGGAATCTCAAGTCACGGTGGCTGGAGTAGAAGGTGAAGGCTGTTCACACCATAGCAGACCAGGAGCCGAGGGGGAAGCAGGGGCAAAGGATGGTTCCCCCTTCAAAGCTTCTTTCTGTCAGTCAGTCCCTATCTCCTAAGGATCCCATGCCACAAGAGCACTGCCAGCTGGGGTCGATATTCAAGACATGAGATCATGGACCACTGACAGTCAAACTGTGGCAGTCTTATTGTGGGTATTGCAGTTGTCAAGGAAACAGAGTTACATCCCCATCAGGATCCCAGGCAGCTTTCTGGCAGAAACCACCCTTTGAAACCACAGAAATAGACATAGGGGAGGGAGAGAGACGCCTGGTCAGTATTAACACTGGATACACTGTGGACAAGTGGAGCAAAGTGGGGAGTCCGCCTTGGCTTCTAGCACGGTGGTTCTCAACCTTCCTAAGGCTGCAGTCCTTTAATACAGCCCCTCATGCTGTAGGGACCCCCAACCATCAAATTATTTCATTGCTACTTCATAGCTGTTATTTTGCTACTGTTGTGAATCGCACTGTAAATATCTGTGTTTTCTGATGGTCTTAGGTGACCCCTGTGAAAGGGTCATTGGACCCTCAGAACGGTCATGACCCAAAGGTTGAGAACCACTGCTCTAGGGTCTCCAGACCAGTGAAGAAATGCATTCTTTCAGGACCTCTCAGTCAAGTAAAGAATGCATAAACCCCAGTGCCAGGGAGCACTCATTCCAGGGGAGACCTAGACTCTGCCCTGGGGGACTTGTACTGTGATGGAGGAGACAGCCTTTATCTCCACAGATGGATACATCTGATTATGGAGTCACAGTGGCTCTTCCAGGGGGCTCCCTCTGTAATGGAAGACAGCCCCTTCCCGGAAGGAGCTGTTGTATAAGACTCAATCCAACATTGAGAGGACACCGTCCTTGAACTGAAGGAGCTCCTGTATGAGAAAGAAAGCCTCAAATAACCTTCTATCTTAACTACGAGTTCTATCATCGGGCACCCTCACTTATCCGGCTCAGACAAAAGTAATCTCCCAGCAGCCTTCCCCCTCTCTCTTCTCCTAGCTACAAAAGAACTTCCTCAAAAAAAAAAAGTATCTTTGTTCATCATTCACCCTTCACCTACTCTCTCCCAAGCTCAGTGACCTGGCCTCATCACACTGTCACGTGACACACTAACACCACCTTCACCTGGGCTTTTACAGACTCAGGCCCAGGAGCCGGTTCCCCGTGTGATCCCACTCCAGCCTGGAGATACTGATCTCACAGCCTCAAGCCAGTGAAACGAAGTGTCTCTAAGAGTCACAGCCATGCTTGGGAGCTTGAAATGTGTGCACTCATTGGAGCGCTGTGGCTCTGGGGAGATTCAGAAGCCACAGTCTTCATGGGTTATTTGTGGGCGGAGGAGATGGCTCAGCCAGTAAAGAAATTGCTCTACAAGCAAGAGGGCCTGAGTTCAATTCCGGGGACCCAAAGGCACCGATGGATGCTGGGTTGCTGCCGCTAACCATTTCAGCCACCTTCCCAAGGGCTAATTCTGTGCTCAAAAATAAAACCTTCAGCTTGTCTGTTTGCTTGTGTGGGTCTACCCACGCAGTTCTCCATGATCATCTTGGCTGAGTCTACTTTGTTTTGAGTTTCCCATATAAGTAAATTAACCATAAAAAAAAAACATAGCTGGTATGGGGTTGGGAACCAGATGTGGTGGCTTATGCCTAGAGTCCCAGTCCTGAGGAATTATAGACAGTCAAAGCCCAGAGGCTGTCAGTCAGTGAAAGACTCTACCTCACAAGAAATGTGGATAGTGTGTTGGGGCGGGGGAGGAGGAGGACAATTTCGAGACAGGCTTTCTCTGTGTAGCCCTGGCTGTCCTGAAACCCACTCTGTAGACCAGACTGGCCTTGAGCTCACAGAGATCCACCTGCTTCTGCCTCCTAAGTGCTGGGATTAAAGGCCTACGCCATAATTGCTATTTTACGCCACCTGTTATCTGGCTCGCTTCATGGTCTCCTAACCAACGATTGTCGTCAGAGAAGCCATACAGTCAAATGACTAACTTGCTGGTTACCTTTCCGGTCGCATCTAACATCTAACAGGTTCCCATGCACTGATCACAGAACGAGAGCGGATCCCGCATGCCCTGAGCCCACATCCTCAGTCACCACTTACCTTGCCATTACAGCCTCCTAGCAGAAATCCAGACAGAGGAGGGGACAGAAGTCACAGGTCAGTCCTTACTCCAAGTCTTGGAGAGGATTATCCTCACGTCATCCTCTAAGAGATCCCAGCTTGAGCTGGCCTTGGACAAAACTTCCTCAGGAGTGGTGTTTGCAGAGGCAGGGGGATAGATTAAGAGGCCCACCATGCCCTGAGAGCTCCAGGCAGAAGCTATGTGCTGGAAGACGCTATCAAACCACTGCTAGTGTTAATGGTGTCTTTAATGTAAGTCTTTAATAAGCTACAATGCTGGGGGGGGGGGAGGTTGAGGTGGCTTCAAGCCTTGATTGACAGCTGTCAGACCCTGGTATCCTGACTGCTCTGCCTTGAGCTAACTACCAAGCACCCAGCTACTGTGAACACTCCATTGGTAGTTTGAAGAAGCCACACAGCAAACACAGCTGCTTGCTGCCAAAAAAAAAAAAAAAAAACCAACAATCCTAGGATCCAGCACCCTCCTCCAGCCTCTGCAGGCTCTCGCACACACATGTGCACATACAAAGACACAGGTATGTGCACACATACATAAATAAATAAATAAAATAAATATTAAAAGAATACCACAGAGCGAGTTACTTATCCTCTCAGAGCCTTGTTTCTTTTTTCAGGAGAAAAATGTAACGGCGTGTAATTGACTTTGTGAGAACCTTGCTGCTCCCTGGGATGGGACGCCATCTGGAAGAAGAACCTAGAAGTTGGCTGACAGAAGACAGGCTTTCGTGCCCCTCTTCATTTTCCTCATCATTCTGGACCTCTGTGAGGAAAGAAGCTGCAACCAATGTCTTTTGTGCTAAGAGATGATGTCAACAGCTGCATGGAGGGGATTTATCCGCTCTTTAAGTGCTCCATTCTGAGGTAAGTGAACAGGTACCGCCCTGCCAAAATGGCTGCCTGCCTGCCTGCCTGCCTGCCTGCCTGCCTGCCTGCCTGTGTGGGGCTCTGAAGGAGTGAGGCTTGCCTATGGTGTTCAGGCTTCCACCACAGTGGGCGGAGGAGGGTTGGAATTGGATTTGTGGAAAGACTGAGAGGACCTGTGCATAAAAGAACTCGGGAAGGGCTGAGTGGCCCTCCACCATGCTCAAATAGAAAAACTCTCCCAGAGGTGGCCCACGGGCTCTCTAGCACAGTGGCCAGCCTGTAAGCAGAAGGCCAAGACTGGCCCCTCAATTAGTTGGGATGCCCTTTCTGTGGGGGCAGAAACAGTGGGGACCGGCTGTGTGGTGAAGGCACTGGGGCTGCGCAGGAGGAGAGATTTAGCCAGAGAGAGCAGAGCCTCTATTGTATGGACGGATGAAGAGGAAGGCTTCAAGGAGGAAGGTTTACAGACAGGACATGGTGGAGCTGATAGGAGGATCACAGCTGAAACAAGGCTCCCACCCCTCAGGGCCCCTGGGCTCTCAGCCCTTCAGAAGAAGAGTCTCAGCATGTACAGTCCCCCAGGCACCCCTAGGATCATGAGGGATCTGGGGAAAGGGCAAGGCTGTAGAGAAACCTACCTTCCTGGGTGTCAAAGGCCCTGGGGGAAAAGTTACAAGGATGTCCAGGGCCTGATCCCTGGAACCTGTAAATGTGGCCTCGCAGGAAGTGGGCAGGAGTGAGGAAATTAAGGAAGTCACAATGATGAGATTATCCTGGATTAGTGAAGTGGATCCTAAATGGAACCACAGAGTGTCTATTATTATAGGATGGAGGCGAAGGGAGGTTTTGCCATAGGGGAAGAAAGTGGCATTGCCACTGCTGCAAGATGCCCCACTTCCGGCTCTGCCAATGAAGGAGGCCAGAGAGGCAAGGACATAGATTCTCCTCCCATGTACACGGAGACAGCTCATTCGTTTTCCGGCTGCCCAGACACGAAATAATGACACAGAAACTATATCAATTACAACACTGTTTGGCCAATGACTCAACTGTATTTCTAGCTAGCTCTTATATCTTAAATTAACCCATTTCTATTAACCTGTGTATTGGCACAAGGTAGTGGCTTACTAAGGGTCAGGTGTCTGTCACCTTTGGCAGCAACATGGTGTCTCCCTGACTCTGCCCACTCTCTCTCTCTATCTCTTCCAGCCTGGCTATATTCTGCCCTGCCATAGACTAAGGCAGCTTCTTATTAACCAATGGTAATAAAACATATTCACAGCATACAGAGGGGAACCCCACATCACTCCCAGAGCCTCCTGAGGAGGTGGGGTCCTGCCCATACCTTTGTTTATATGCAGCAAAGCTGATCAGGGACTTCTGACCTCCACTGCTTTGAGAGAATTAATGGGTGTTATTTTAAGCCCTCAATCTTGTAATAGTTTGTTACTATGTCACCGGGAATGAAGACAGACCGACATACATACACAGTGGTAGTTGGTTAGAAAGCCCTGAAAGGCCAGGAAGACAGAGATGTGCCCATACCTGGTGGATAGTTGATGCTACAGGAGGTCCTGGGTGGAAAAGCTTCCAAGAAAGAAGAAGCCAGCTTTCCAGCCTACCACTGAAGGAACACAGGGGATGAGCCAGTCGGCAATGGCTGGAGAAGTACATTGAGTCCCCTGTACCAGGAGTGTCCTGGGTCCCCTCAAAAGAGCTTAGGAGACCCACAGTTCATGGCAACCTAAATATTTTGGTAGTTATTTGAGTGAAGAAGAGGAGGAGGAGGAAGTAAGAGAACAGTGAGAGAAGAGGAGGGGTAGGAGGAGAAGGAGAGAAGAGGAGGAAGAGGAGGAGAGGGAGGGAGGAGGAGAAGGGAAGCAGCTAAGGGGCCTGGGAGATGGCTCAGCAGTTAAAGGAACTTGCCACCAACATAACCTGAAATCAACCCCAAGCACCCACATGGCACAAGGAGAGAAATGACTCCTACAAGCTGTCCTCTGACCTCCACACAGCCGTTGTGCCGTGCACATGTGTGTACGTGCACAACACACATGCACATGTACACACAAGCACACACAAATGAATAAATGTTTTGAAATAAAGATTTACTATGTACATCAAGTTGGCCTTGAACTCAGAGAGCAAATAAATGTAACCTTTTGCTTTGTTTTTTCCAGACAGGGATTTCCTGTGTAGCCCTGGCTGTCCCGGAACTAGCTGTGTAGATGAGGCTGGACTCGAACTCACAGAGATCCGCCTACCTCTGCCTCCCTAGTGCCAGGATTAAAGACGTGTGCCACTACTGCCTGGTTCAGCCTTACTATTTTTTAATAAGTCATCTCCATTTCTACTGTGACCCACATGCCCTGATCATCCTTGTTCTGATACCCAAAATTCCTCCAGTAACACACCCCTTGTGTAGCTCAAGACAGTGCAACATGATTGTCACCTGTCACACAGGGGATGACAGTGCAGTTCCCACAAGGTGGCAGCTGTGAAGACGGAGGGCCGCCAGTTTCTGGGCATATTTTGAAAGGAGTGTGTGATCTCATAGGACACCATTGTTTAGGCTTCTGCCCTGGCCCCAACAGGCCAGGTTCAAATCAAAATGAGATCGGCCACGCCAAAGTTCCACAGTGAGTTCTCTGGCCTTCTGAGAAGTGAGGACAGGGAGGAGGGGATGGCTCAGCGGGGACAGATGTTTGTAGTCAGGCCTGGCACTGGGGTTGTTGTTGTTTTTCTTTTATTTACTCGTTGGGGGCCCTCTATCCCGATCCCAAATAAATCCACAGAGACTTATTCTTGCTTAGGCATGCCCGGCCTTAGCTTGGCTTGTTTCTAGCCAGCTTTTCTAACTAAATTATGCCATCTACCTTTGCCTCTGGGCTTTTGTCTTTCTCTGTTATTAGACCAATCAGGTGTTTTAGACAGGCCACACAGCTTCACAGAGTTAAATAAATGCAACATAAAAGAATGCAGCACACTTTTGCAGGGGGAGGGAAATGGGAGGCGGTGGCGGGGAGGAGGCAGAAATCTTTAATAAATAACTAAATAAATAAAAAACAAATGTTCCAAAGCATAAACAAATGTAACACATCTTAAACCAATATTCCACGGCATGAAGCCTGAGTCCAACCCCCGAGGCCCACATGATGGAAGGAGAAACCGACCTGGCAAGTGCCCTCTGACTTCTGCATGGCACAGAGGCACACACATACCCACATGCCCAAACAAATGAATAAATAAATATAAAGGTAATTTTTTAAAGGTAATTTTTAAAGAATGCTTAAGGAATGGGGCTAGAGAAATGGCCTAACAGTTAAGAGAATTCGCTGTTCTTGCAGAGGACCTGGGTTTGGGTCTCAGCTTCCATATCAGGTGGCTCACACTCCGGCTCCAGGGAAACCTATGCCCTCTTCTGGGCTCCCAGAGTACTGCACTTTTGCTCATACACACAGATATGCGTGTGTATGTGTGATTAAAAATAAAAAGCTTAACGAATTCATTAAAAAAATAAATGAGGACAGAAATGCCAGCCAAATCTCCCAAACAGACCAGTCCAGCCGGCAGGATCATATGTCTCCCTCCACTAAAAGTGACTTGACCTTGCCTGGTGTCAACCAATGAAGGTTTTTTTTTTTTTTTTTTTCCTATTTTCAGCCCGTCCCCTTTCTGCTGTCCTGTCTACAAACTTGGCCTTCTCTGCTCAGCCCATGAGACTCTCGTTCTGTTTTCTAGAACAGTCTAGTGCCTTGTTCTAGAATCCCTAATGGGGTCAATTAAGAGCTTTAAACTCAATTGTCGTCCTTTTGACTTGTGACCACGCCAACAGTGCCTGTTGACGATTGGATACAGGGTGTGAGGCAGAGATGGGTGTTCAGGATGGCTACAAGGTGTTCAACCAAGCAACTGGGTGTCGGCAGTGCTGCCAGCAGGGCGGGCCGCGAGGGTGGCTTAATTGTGTTCTGAGATGCTTACAAGAGAGGCAACTGCATCTCAGGTTAGCTGGGCCCCCAGCAGGTCTGAGCTCCCAGATCCCAGCCCTTTGGTGGTGTTTAAGGCCCTGAGAGATGGATGTCTCCAGGAAAGTTTGAATGAAGAGACAGGGTCCAAAGATAGTGGGGAGTGGCTGGGAGGAGAAAGGTTAGAAGAGCTGGGGGGGGGGGGGGGCGGGTGATGAGCAAGGGAGCCAGAAGGGCAGCCCTAGAGAGTGGGAGTGTGTGGTCCTAGACGGAAAGAACTGTGAAGATGGATCAGAGAGGTGGGGGGAGGGGTGACATCTCCAGAGGGTTACATGTGTTTATACAATGTTTAAGTCACCAGTGTCGGGGATAACTATTACTCATAGCCTGAGTGTGACCCAGATAGGTCACCCCAACCTGGAAGCCAAAAACGCAATCCATATTTTATTTCCCATTTCCAATCATTTTCCCCCGCTTCACCCAGCACAGCTGATCCCTGGTCCGCAATCACTTCACATACCATGAGACAGGCTCTCCAAGAGCAAATCCACAAATGAAGTGACCCCAGTTAAATGTGAACCCTCTCCCGTTATCCAGGTCTCAAGTAGAGAGCGCCGTCTGGAAAATGACCTACTTCACATATTGGGAATGAACGTTTCCCCCTGGTTTCAACATCTCTACAGCCTGGAAATGTCTTCAATCAGTGTCCTACGATCACCTGGCATTCACGCGTGAGCAAGCCATTTGAAACCTTCAAACCATGTACATAAAGAGCCAGCAGCTTCTGGGTGTGGTGGTGCACATACCTTTAATCCCAGCACTCAGGAGATAGAGGCAGGTGGATCTCTGTTAGTTCACAGACTGAGTTTCAGGTCAGGCAGAACTCTATAGGAGAACATCTTTGAAAATTAAATTTTAAAAGCTTTAATTTTTAAAGAGCCAGCAGTATAGCATGCTAGGTGAAAGAAAATGAGGTATGTCCCCAATAAACTAAAAGCCCAAGGATTGTGATTCCGTTTATCCTTCCTAGCTTCTCATTGGCTCAGCCTTGGCTAGAGGATGCTGGTTTTATCCTCCCTAGCTTCCCATTGGCTCAGCCTCGGCTAGAGGATGCTGGTTTTATCCTCCCTAGCTTCTCATTGGCTCAGCCTCGGCTAGAGGATGCTGGTTTTATCCTCCCCAGCTTCTCATTGGCTCAGCCTCGGCTAGAGGATGCTACATGTCTGACTTTTTGGTTCTCCTTTTGGGGACTTTGGAGATGGTTCAGTGAGTAAAGTTCTTGCCCACACAAGCCTAAGAAACTGAGCTCAGATGCCCAGCACCCACGATCAAGAGGGATGCAGCAGTGTGCGTGCATCTGTAATCCCAGTCCTGAGGGACAGAGACAGGAATAGTCCACGGCTTGCTGGCCTGCTAGTCTAGTCAAAAAAGTGAGCTCCTGGATCAATGAAAGACCCTCTTGCAAAAAGCAGGATGGCAAGCCAGGCAGTGGCGACACACACCTTTAATCCCAGCGCTCAGAGACAAAGACAGGAGGATCTTTGTGAGTTTGAGGCCAGCCTGACCTATAGAGCAAGTTCCAGGACAGCTAGGGCTGCTACACAGAGAAACCCTGTCTTGAAAAACCAAACCAAACGAACAAAAATGTAAGATGGCAAAGCAATTGAGGGAGATAGCCCATTATCAAGCCCTGCTCTCCATACAGATTTACAAGGCTCTCTCTCTCTCTCTCTCTCTCTCTCTCTCTCTCTCTCTCCCTCTCTCTCTCTCTCTCTCTCTCTCACACACACACACACACACACACACACACGCATGCACACACACAAAACCTTGTTTCCTCTTGCTTCTTGTCACTCCTAGTGCATCCACCTTTCCCTTAAGGCAGTGTGGTCGTGACACCTAGTAGGCAAGCATCAGAATTACCCTGACGAGGCAGTAAATTTTACTTCCGGGGCCCAGTTTACAGAGGTTCTGATTCAGCAGGTCTGGGTGGGGCCTAGGAATCCACATTTCTGCTAGGTCCCTTGGCTTACTAGTTTCATTGCTGTGACAAAACAATTTCCATAAGCAAGTTAAGGACCAGGTACACAGTCCATCATGGTGGGGTAAGCATGGTCACCACGGGAGCGCGAGGCAGCTGGTCACATCCGGTCCATAGGCAGGAAGCAGAGAGACGGATGCTGGTGTTCAGCTGACTTCCCCCTTTTGTAGTCAGTTAGGACCCCAGCCTAGGGAATGGCACCGCCCACATGGAGGGTGGGTCTTCCACCTCAGTCAGTCTAAAGGATCTCTCCTAACCTCCCTGAAGATGTGTTTCCATGGTGATGGAGTTGACAGGATGAACCAGCACAGCAGCTGATGTTGATTCTGCTGGTAGGGGACCGTGCGAATCTCTTTTCCTGTCTTCCTGTATTTATTTCATTTTCCCTCATTCACTGTTCCTGTTCGGATTCTTTTTTTAGGGGGAAAAAAATAAGTATACTGAGTCACACTTCTCGAGTCTTTCTGGTCTCTTTTTAAACTCCCTGTGCAATCTGGATCTTAGAGGCAGAATCGTATGACACTGGCTGTTTTCGCTTCCTGACCCTCGAGTCAACCAGAACCGAACTTAATGGCATTAATTCCTGTGTCTCAGCTTACGCCAGATGACACGTTCTATTTATACATAGAACATCCATAACTTTTTTTTAACCTTCCATGGTGGAATCTGGCAATTAGTTGCGACCCACCTTCTGTAAGCAAGATATCCAGAACCAACCTTTTAAAAAGTTGTTCACGTATGTGTGTATATGGATGGATGGATACATGCATTCATGTATGAGCACATGTGTATGAGGGAGCTCAAGAAGGTGTCGGGTCCCTTGGAACTAGAGTTACAGGGGATTGTGAGGCATCGGTGTCCTTGTGACTGAACCACAAGCACTCCGGCCTGCTGAGCCATCTCTCCAGCCCCAGTGCTCGCCTCTGATTTCTACTACAATTGATGGCAGGATTAGATGGCTCCCTGGATGCCAGTCCATTCCCATTGCATTGAGTGGCCTCCAGGATAACTCTACTGGGGGTGACTAGCTGCACTGGGGGGCACTTGGAAACATCTGGAGCAGATGTATGTGGTAACTGGGAGGATGCTCCTGATGTGTCTGGGTGAAGGCTAGCAGTGTGGCTAAGCAGCTCATGAGGTTCAGGAGTGCCCCTACATCAAAGATGAGTCTGAGCGAAAGGCAGTGAGAATCAAAAACTATTTTTTTGATAGTCTTGGGGAGGGAGCTACTGAGGTACCCATAGTATGCCCACATCTTAGTCTTCAGTTCAGACTGAATGGACCAGAATGGCACCCTTAACAAAATCCCCACCGCACTTTGGGCAGTAATGTTCTTTTATAAGCATACAGGAATTTAGTTGCCCTTAAAGCCCTGATTTAAAGCTATTGCCCCGCCCCCAGTGGCGGCTGCAGGGTTTGCAGACAGAAGATTTGCTAAGGACCAGAAGCAGTTTGGTCCTTACTCCTCGAGCTGCCTACTTCAACTCCAGTTTCCCCCCCCCCCCCCCCCCCAGCCTGTGCCCAAGCCAGCTCTGTGCAGTTCAAGGTTAAGATGCAGTGACCTAAATACTAAAGCCTGTGAAGTCCGTGCTGTGCCCGGGCCCTGTCACTCCCATTTGCTATGCCCCTCCCTGTGACCCTGCTATGGCTCCTGAGATCGTCTTGGAAGCTTACCTCAAATGCCACTTACCCTTGGCTTTTCTGGTTCGCCTCCTTGTTTATTAAGTTCCCGGATCAGTCATCGGCTCAGGGGCTCGGAGACAAGGTCAGAGAAGAATTACACCCTGCTTCCCTGTCTAGATTTGGACCAATTGAGAGACAGGTGAGTCAACCGGGTAGCGATCAAATTAGTCCCGACTTCAAAAAGTCTTGACTGAAGCTAAATTGGAGGAGGTAGCTGTAAACTTCCTAATTCCACTTCCTTAGAATTAGATGACTAACCAGCCAGGCCAGGAACACTGCTGAGCCACCAGAGTGAGAGAGAGCTCTCCAGCTAAGCTGGCCACACAGCCCCAACCCGAAGAGCCTTCTGCGGGAAGGCAACGCTGTGCCACCAAGGAGAAAGAGGATTGCTGGGCATACCCAGAGTCCTCTGCCAAATGTGTTCATCATGGAAGGATCAGGAAGGAATAGGGACATAGGTAGTGGGAACCCGAGAGGAGTTACACCAGCAGATGGTCTACGCATCAGAAGGAAACAACATGAGCAGGGCATAAGTGTTCCCACAGAAGAACACTCGCCCTCGGGTTGCGGATGCACCTGGCAAACACAAAGCCCTGGGGTTGATTTCCAGCACCCTATAAAACTGGGCATGGTAGTCCTGATCCCAGGACTCAGCACAATTAATAAAATAAATAAATAAATAAATAAAATTAATAAAAATTAATAAAAACCCAGAGACAGAAATTAGGGTTCAACCTGAAAGTCAGAAAAGCAAAACAGCCAGCCACTGGCTCCTACCTCTACCTCAGTTGGAAATGGAAATCCTGCCTCCAGGAATCTCAGAATGAGACTGTGTCTGAGAGCTGTTTCCTCTCGTTTTATATTCTTCTCCAGGACTGGAATTAAAGGCATGCACCACCCAGTTTCTATGGCAAACTTGTGTGATTATTGGGATTAAAGGTGCGTGTCACCACTGCCTGGTCTGTAAAGCTGACCAGTGGGGCTGTTTTACTCTCTCAACTCCATGAAAGCTTTATTTATTAAAATACAAATGAAATATCACTACACCCAAATATACACACACCAAAGTTTATTGAGAACACATGGGTATGAGAATGTATTAAACCCGTATGAGAAACTGACCAAACACATGAAACCAACAGAGGGCACGACACCCTCTTCTGGACCCCATAAAAAGAAGAACACCTAATACTACAATAGCAATGGCTCTGCCTACCTGTCATCCAGCTTCCTGGTGTGTGTGTGTGCATGTGTGTGTGTACGGACCAATAGACAGGGAACCTCCAACCGTCTCAGGGGCTTCAGCTCAGCACAGACTGTGGGGACCCAATGCTTGATGTGACCTGATCCCAACTGCCATCTGTATGTTCATCCATCTATCCCTATCCACCCAGACAAAGTTGCACCTCCCCTCCCTGCTCCCATCCTGTTGATCAGGTTTGGTCAGACCCAGCAACTCAGGACCCCCAGGTCAACTCTGCCTAGTTCCCAGAAGTTCTCCACTTAGACGTGTTAATATCCATCATCCTCCTGCAGCGGCTCTCAGCCTCTACCTCCAGTAAGGCCTCTTTCTGTAACGCATGCATGTGTATATATAAGATATATGTAATACGCCTATTTCTAAACACATGCTTATACACATATTCAAATGTGTAACATGTACTGTGTGTTCTGAGTTAATATTAGTTACCAGGATTGTAATAAAAAGGACCTGTGATTGCCAACAGTCATGCTTTCTAGGGACATCAGGACTACTTGATAAGCCACAGCCAATGAAACCAGCACATTCGATAAATTCAGACATTATGGAAAGATACAGACGTGCCCATCTATGTTTCTAGTGGACCATGCCCATGACAGTTACTGAAATTTAAAATTCTGTGTGAAAGGGTAGCTACCGATTACATACTGAACAAGAGGAAGGAAAGTGGAGGTAGCAGGGCTTTGCTGAGACCCATTAAAGGACGACCATAGCATCCTAGGAAGTCCTAACTTCATGTGTGTGTGTGTACACACATGCACACACACACTCACATGCACAGGCGCTTGCACACACATGCTAACCGTGCCATCACACGTAGAGGCCAGAGTTGATGTCGTGTAATGTGGGATTCCCCTGTGTATGCTGTGAATACCAATGGTTAACTGTTTTGAGCCTATAGCAGAGCAGGGCAGAACAGAGCTAGATGGGGAAAACTGAATGCTGGGAGAAAGAAGACGTGGCCAGGGAGAAGCCTTGTGGCCCCACCAGAGACAGATGCAGGATGGAAGCTTGCCAGTAAGTCACAGCCACATGGTGATACACATATTAATAGAAATGGGTTAAATTAAGATACAAGAGTTAGCCAATAAGAAGCTAGAGCTAATGGGCCAAGCAGTGATTTAATTAATACAGTTTCTGTGTGGTTTGGGACTGAGCAGCCGGGAACAAACAAGGGGCCTGCACACTACAGTCGTGATGTTTCCTCCAATAGTTCTTCCACCTTAGTTTTTGAGACAGGGTCAGTCTCTCAGTGAACTTGGAGCTCACCAGTTCAGCTAGACTGGCTGGCCTGCCAGCCCTGGAATTCACCTGTCTCCCCATCCCTAGTGCTGGGGTTACAGACATGTGGCTCCATGTCTGCTTATAAGAAAGTGCTAGGGAACCAAACTCTGGTCCCTGTGCTTGTTCAGCAATCAGTTTGCCCTCTGAACCATCACCCAGCCCCATGCCTGACTGTTTTTTCTGTGTTTATTTAATTTTTGTCTTCCTTTAATTTGAACAAATATGTTCTGTGGTGTGATTTTCTTATCGGAAGAATGGAATCTGAGCTGTATGGTCCCGGGTGGAGACTTTCTGAACTGTCAGGAAGATCCCGAGACTACCACCTGGCAGGAGGCTTTCAGATGAAGAACAGGGGCAGGTCATTGTCCCCTCCCTTAAGTGTTAACCCAAATAGGCTCGTCAATCACCAAGAGAGAAAACCCTGCTCAGGAAGCAGGCCTATACTAGTGACTTTGGGTCCGAGATAAGAGAGCTCGCTGTTCTTGCAGGGAACCTGAGTTTGGTTTTCAGCACCCATACCAATCAATTCACAAACTCCCGTAATTCTAGCTCTGGGGCATCCGACACCCTCTTCTAGCCACTATAGGCACTGCACCCTGTACATAGCCTCCCACAGACATACTAGTACATAGACATATGCATGTAATTAAAAATAAACTCCCCAAGGAGAAGAAAATAGCATGTAGGTCAGGACAGTGGTCTCTTTGACCATTGTCCATTCTGCAGAACAGTCTCTTTGGTCATCGTCCAATCTGAAATTACAGGTGGTTGTGAGCTACTCAACATGGTGCTGGGAATCAAATTTGGGCTCTCTAGAAGAACAGCAAACTCTCTTAACTGATGAACCATCTCTCCAGACCCCTCTTCTACCGCCTTTGTTTTGGTAGTGGAGACTCCAAAACCCAGGACTGTTAACCTGTTAGGCAAGTGCTCTATGACTGAGCTTCATCACTAGCCCAGCGTTTGCATTGCCTCCTGCTGGCACTTCTTCCTGTGCTTACCATTTCTCTTCGGATAAAAGAATTCAGATTTGTAGGGGTTTGATTGGCAGGATGCTGCCTGAGCCATTCTTGGTATGTTGACTTTTTGAATGATAGGTGGATTGGAACCTAGGGCTTACAGAAAATGTCTCCGGCGGGGTGGGGGGAACTACTGGAGAGATAGCTTGGTGGTTGAAAGTGTTTGGGTCCCAACACCCACAATGGATAGTCCACGACCACATATAGCTCCAGATGGGCCCTGAGAGACAAGTTAACCAGCTTTCATACTCTGCCCATTGCAACGAGGATGGAGTCAAAGACTTCTGAGAACTGGAGAAGGTCTGTCTTCTCTGTTTCCTCCAACAGAGAGGAGGAAGCAAGAGGCTCTTTCACACAGGTGACCATCTTCCAACCATAGAAGTCAGCTTAAACACAAGAGGAATGCAGAGAAGGAACAGAAGAGAAAGAACAGAAATGGATACAGAATGTGGGCCATGATCCAAGCAGGCCTGAAGGTTCCTGAACTTCCAGAATCTTCTCTGGCTGTTACTAGCAGGGAATTCCCTCCTGCTTCTACTCTCTGGTGTGTCCCCAGCACAGAGTAGGCTCTCAGCTTAATTTACTGACTGAAGAAATGTTGATAAGGTTTACCGTGCTGCGAGTGGTTCATCTTCATCATCACCTTGACAGGATTTATGGTTACCATGGAAACCCTTCAGGATACGTCTCAGAAAAAACTTTTGGAAAGCTCTAACTAGGAGGGAGACCCACCCTGAATGTGGCTGTCACCATCCCAAGATCTAGGATGAACAGAAAGGAGCTGAGCATCACCCTCATCTCTCTCTCTGCTTCCTGACTGCAGATGCCATGTGAGCAGCTGCTTCACGCTGTGCCCCATGCCTTCCTGCTGCGACAGACTGTGCACCCTCAAACTGCGAGCCAGAAGAGACCCTTCCCCCTTAAACTTCTTTGGTCAGATATTTTGTCATAGCAACCAAGAAAGTGACTAACACAGCCTCTTTGTTCAGAGAGCTCCACAGGGTCCTTAAGATTCAGGAAACATCAGAAGCCTGCGGCAGATAGTGGGCTTGCAACACTGCGCTCACAGCTCTGTAGGAAATCAGTAAACTGTAGCCTTTGATTTGATGGTGATGATTGCATTGACTTTTGAGCTAAAAGAGGTGTATGTATGTGTGTGTCTGTGTGTGTGTGTGTGTGTGTGTGTATGCACGCTGTGTACATGTACTTGCAAGTATACACACCAGTGAAAGTTCTTAGGCCAGAGGAGGACATCAAGGGCCAGCTCCACCACTCTTTCCCTTACTCCCTTGAGACAGGCTCTCTCACTGAACCTGGAGCCAGGCTGCAGCGGCAAGCTTCAGCAATCCTCCTGTCTCCGCCTCTGAGGTTAAAGGCATGTGCAGCCACCCTTGACTTTCTATGTGAATGCTGGGGATTTGAACCCGGGTCCTCATGCTAATGCAGCAAGCACTCCTGCCAACTGAGCCATCTCAGACTTGTAGCCCAAGCTGGGCTTAAACTCCTTGGCACCCAAAGATGAACACCAGTTTTGGATCGTCCTGTCTCTGCCTTCTGAGTGCTAGGGTTCCTAATGTGCCCCCACACCCAGTTCATACAGAACAGGTGGTCAAAGCTAGGGCTTCACATACACCAGGCAAGCATTGTACCAATGAGGCTACATTTCCAGCCCCACCAAAGATGCAGATTTATACCAAGAGCAAGAATCGGTGCTAAGGGTCTGAGTTCTTTATCCCCTCAACATCTCTATCCTGACCTCTCTGCCGACACCTCCACCCATCACCCTATCCCTTCACCCTCCCCACACTCTGCCAAGCAGCAACGGTGGTCCCATGAAAAAGATGCACAGGCTGCCTGCGTGCCTTTCCCGGGTTGACTGAGTGCCTCCAGCTCCCCACAGCAGCTGCCTCCTCTGGACTCAGGAGAGGGGGCAAGAAAGAGGGATGAGAAAGAGGGACCCAATATGGATGGGTTCCCCTGAAGGACACAGCTGCCTAAAAAAGGCCATTTCGTCTCATTTCCTTTTCAGCTGGCTTATAGCCCTGAAAGCTCAGTCTGATTATTTCCATTTTTATAGATGATGAAGCTGGGCGCAGAGAGGTGACAAAACCAGCCAATGTCATTCAAGCCCTAAGCAAAGGTGCCACCATTCAAGGCCTGGTTTTGCTGTAATTTCTACCGCATTGTGCCAGGGGTGTGAGGCCCAAGCACCAACCCTGTCCAGAATGTCTGAACTCCTCCGAGTCCAGCCTTCGCCAGCATAGCACTTCAGCATGGCGCCTCCTCCAGGAAGGCAACCTAGATTCCTTCACCACAGCTACAGACCTACAGGAACTTTCAGGGTCCCCCAACTTGTCTGGGCCAGGATTCGAAATGTACCCCAAAAGCAACTCTCTCAGAACCAGACCCTTCTTCCCCTGCTCTGATCTTGCTGATGACCCCGCTTCCCGGCCAGGGACGAAAGCCATGTTGCCCTGTTGTTAGAAGGCAGCTCTTCTTATGACTCACGGTTTGAGGTCTCATGACCCAGGCCAGAAGCCAGGGACTGCCAAAAGAGCCCTCATTAAAATCAAAAGGAAATGCCAAGAAAAAGGACCTCTCTGAGTAGACGGTGACTCATGGCTGCAGAGTGTCCCAGGCAGCTGGACTCACCTCTGGTCCCCATCGCCTCTGCAATGGGGACAGAGCTCCCAGCACCCAGGGGCCCAGGGTTGGGGTGGAGATAGTAAGTAGCAGGAAGTGCATGGGCAGGGCTGGGGGTGGGGCTGAGGCCCTGTGTGCTGTCTTATTTACAGGGCTCCCTTTCTGTGTTCAAAACCTGTCATCCCAAATCACACAGCCCAGGGAACCCCCCTCGTCCTGACTCTGTGGAGAAGCTCCCCAGAGACTGGAGCCTCTGGCCCAGGGTGTCTGGATTCCTTGTCATGAGGCCCAACCAAGACCAGGGAAAGAAGACAGACTCCAGGCCCTAAACGAGCAACTGAGGCTTGAAGTTGGGAGGAGGGGGCTTTAGTCATGTGCCCCAGCCATATCCCCAGACTGAAAGAAAAAATTGAGTATAGGAAGTTACTTTATAACTGTGGTAATTGGTAATATAAAGTCAGACTTAGATTGGGCTGTATTACACTCAGTCCTCTGACTTTATACTAAGTCGTGGTCTGAGAAGCACTGTGCTGGCCCTGGGTAAGTCCTTCAGAACCGCCTGGGTCCATATTGTGGCTCCTCATTTACTGAGGTGTATGGATTCCCCTCCTCTGTAACAGGGGAATCATGGAAGCCTAAGCCCTTTGCTTTGGCCTTGTTTATGGGTGACTCACCTGGGGCCCCGCACATGCTCAGTGAGGGCCAGTTCCCATGAAGGAGGTGAGGCAGATAGATACCTCTGGCTCTGTAACACAGACAGGATTACTGATGTCCCAAGCGAGGGAAAAGACCTGCCCAAGGCCTTGTGGTCAGGGGCCCTAGAGTGTTGACTAGAAGCAATGGTCAAGTTATCTCAGTCAGGGAAGGATGGGGAGGGGCTCTTCTGCCTTGGAAATGGGACAGACTTGGGGCTTGGCCCTGTGAGGGCTTCAGGGTCCCCTGCCACACTGGGCCTCATTCACTGAGTTGGTTTAAAGGGAATGGATGCGATATTAAGCTCGGGAAAACAGGGCACAACCACTGGGAGCAAGGATTGTAAATTGGAAACGTGGGGGTCCGGGAGATGGGCAGGAGGAAAGATGGCCCCGAGACTGCCCCACCCCTGTTCCCACACCCCCTTGGAGGCAGAGTCTAGCTGGCTCCTCCCCTGGGAACTTAGCCAAAGTGTCAAAGCTGGAAGAATTATTGCATCACTGGGCACTCAAGGGTTAATGATGGGGGAGTGGGCAGGACCTGTGTATTTAACTAATTGGGAGGTGGCCTGAGATCAGAGGCACTGCTCACTTCCTCCCACCGCAGCAGGCTCCTGTGCCCCCTGCTTACCTCCCCCAGGATGAAACCACCCCTTGCCCTGGCCTTCCTTTGCCTCCTGGGTAAGTGACCTTCATGACCTCCCCACTGCATCCTGCCCCAGCTGGCAATAGGAAGCTCTCTGGATGCCTGAGCATAGCCCTGTACAGGGCATCATGGGTACCAAGTACTAGAGGCCACCCGGTGACCCTGGGATGTGTGCTCCCTGAGCCATCAGTGTCTGGGAGAGAAGGCAGGTGGGGGTGGGCTGAGGAGAACCCAATGGGGAAGGGAGTGGGGGCCTTGGCATCCCCGCTTCGAATGGGCACCTCCCCACAGCTGAAGCAGAAGGGTCTGGAGGAATCTGGGGAGGTCCGCAGAATGAGCTGGGAAACAGGCACAGGGGTGTGTGAGATCTTTGTGCTGCTGGGGAGACAGGGCTGAGGTCTGGGGAAAGGAAGATTTTTTGGGAACGATTAAAAGAGTCCGTGGAGGGATCCATGAGCTGTGGGAAGGAGTGAGGAGACTGCAAAGACAGACAAGCGTGAGGACCTGAGTTCAAATACCCAAGACCCACCTAAAAGCTAGGTGTTGTGGCACACATCTGCCTAAAAGCTAGGTGTTGTGGCACACATCTGTAACCCCAATGCTGGGGCACAGAGATAGGCAGATCTTCCTGGCTTGCTGTCTAGCCAGTCTAGCCAAATAGGCAAGGTTCCTTTTTTTTTTTTTTTTTTTTTTTTGAGAGATTCCGTCTCAAAAAAGTAAGATGGGAGATAATAAAGATATCTGATGCCAGCCAGGCTGTGGTGGTGCACGCCTTGAATCCCAGCACCAGGGCAGCCAAGGCAGGCGGATAATGCTCACTGGTCCTGAAGTACCCTGTGGTCCCTGCCTCCTCTTCTGTAGCATCCCTGGCTAGCGGGAACCTGGTCCAGTTTGGAGTGATGATCGAGAGGATGACAGGGAAGTCTGCGCTGCAGTACAATGACTACGGCTGCTACTGTGGTGTAGGTGGCTCCAACTGGCCAGTGGACCAGACTGATTGGTGAGCAGGAGGACCTTGGAGGAGGAGGGAGAGGAGGTGGGGAAGCAGCCTAAGAGGAAGGAGGTCCTGGGGGCACGTTCATCCCCTCTGAGTCCTGGGGATGTCCCAGCGGCTTCTGCTTCCAGCCCAGTCCCTCCAGGTTAACTCTGACCCCACAGGTGCTGCCACGCCCATGACTGTTGCTATGGACGCGTGGAGAAGCTGGGCTGTGAGCCCAAGCTGGAAAAGTACTTCTTTGCTATTGGTCGAGACACCATCTTCTGTGGTAGGTGGCCAAGCCTGGAATGAGCCAGGCACTGGGTAGGCAGGAGTCCCTCTAGCTGGTGACCTTGGTGCTTGTCACAGGGCCAGACCCAGTAGGCTTCCCACCATCACGTAAGGGTGACAACGCTTGTCCAACTGTTCCGATTCTTACTAGGCATCTGGGCCCCACAGCCCTGTGACCCACCAATGCAGCCCTTGCCCTGCCTCAGCCTCTGGGGACTGAGCAGAAGGGACTGAACTGAGCCATACCCGGAGCTGGATTCACACAACCCTGCCCTAGGAGGGGCCAGGAGGGACTCTGACTGAACAGCAGGCCTATTCTCACGAGCTGTTTGCGCCCAGTGGGGCTGCTGAGCTGGGCCCACCTCCTCCGCTTTGCCAAGTTCAGTGCCCATTTGGCACTATTAGCTTTCCTCTGGGCCTCAGCTGGGGAAATAGCCAAAAGCAAGGCTGTCCAGAGGGCACTCAAATCAGAGAATCCAACTTTCCTCCCAGCCTGGTGGGTGTGGGATGCAGGGAAGGACCCACGCAGTCCGAGGCACTGGCTCAGCACAGAACCCAGGGGTCCGTGCCGAAGTATTAGCCAAGACCAGCATCACTGAGGCAGAGTTGGCTCGGGGTGTCTCATACCTATAGGGGATCCCTCAGCAGGGCAGCTGCATCAGGTCCTTGGCACTGAGGGTTCAGACAGGGGTGGGACAAGCCCCAGTTGGGATGGCACTGAGGATGTTAGGGGAGGCGTCAGGTGGATGGGACATAGCCCACCATAGTACTTTGACCAAGGGAATGAGCCCTGCAAAGCCTGTGTGACTTCTTGCCTATTACGCCGAGATAGCCACGCCCATCTCCCCAGCTGTCACTGTCAGGACTTCAAGTGCATCCTCGGTCCTGCTGAACTAGCAGGTGCGGGCAGAATCATGAAGGGAAATACTCATCTCTGAGGGGGAAGTGAGGCACCAGACCCTTCCAGACAGGGAGGTGGATTCCTAGGGACTGAAGGGCAGAAAGAAACAATCACAAAGGACTGAAGTAAGGCTTCTAGGCAACTGGCGCCTGCCATGATGATGCCTGCTGGCCATGATGCCCAGGCTAGGTGCAGGTTCTGTCTATTCTGATAGAGACAGACTGAAGCCTTGAGAAGAAGGCTCCTGCATTTGTCTAATAACTCCATCCTGGATACTGGCCATCCCTAACGACGCCATCACATAGGGGAGGGTTGCTAAGGCCCTGGTAGGAGGAAGGTGAGAGGTTGTGAAACCAGCATCCTGTCAAGGCAGGAGAGGGCTAAGATCATGTGAGCGGGCTTGGAGAGGAAGGGAAAACCCAGGGTGGTAAGCCAGCCCCCACACATCCCCTTGAGCATGGGCTTCCACAGGAAGTGGGAAGGCATCTGAGGATGGGGCTGGGAACCTGGACCACAGAGCATTGAGGAGTCACTCTCATGCCGTGGCGAAGAGCCGGAGCCCCCAACCTCCACCCCAGACTCTGGCTTGTTTCCGTCCCCCTCCAGCTGGTAGAACGACTTGCCAGCGGCAGACCTGCGAATGTGACAAACGGGCCGCGCTCTGCTTCCGCCGCAACCTGGGCACGTATAACCGCAAGTATGCCCACTACCCCAACAAGCTGTGCACCGGGCCCACCCCACCCTGCTGAGGTCCCAGGCCTGCAGAAGCTTGGAGCCCAAATCTCTCTCCTGCAAACCCATCCCTCCCCTCAGAGCCCAAAGGCCCTGGCCTCTGGAGCCACACCTGTTCCCCAGGATCAGCTAAAGGAGCCACAGGACCATTCAGCCCTTGAGCACTCACAAGACCTGCTAAGTCTCCCCTGACACCTCGGTTCCCTCTTCTGAACAAGAGAATTCTATTTCCCTGCAAGTCTAATATTCTTCCATTGTCTTCCTGGAATTTGGACGCTAGTTTCCTTTTCATTCATTCATCTATCCATCCACCCACCCACCCATCCATCCACCAATCCATCCATTCACCCACCCACCCACCCATCCATCCACCCACCTACCCATCCACCCACCCACCCACCCATCTATCCATCCACCCACCCATCCATCCACCCACCCACCCACCCATCCATCCACCCACCCACCCACCCATCCATCCACCCACCCACCCACCCATCCATCCATCCATCCACCCATCTATCCATCCACCCATCTACTCACCCATCCATCCACCAATCCATCCATCCACCCACCCACCCACCCATTCACCCACCCACCCACCCATTCACCCACCCACCCACCCACCCATCCACCCACCCACCCATCCACCCACCCACCCACCCATCCATCCATCCACCCACCCACCCATCTATCCATCCATCCATCCACCCATCCATCCATCTATCCACCCATCTATCCATCCACCCATCCATCCATCCATCCACCCATCCATCCATCCATCCATCTATCCATCCATCCATCCATCCATCCATCCACCCACCCACCCACCCATCCATCCACCCACCCATCCATCCATCCATCCACCCACCCACCCACCCATCCACCCACCCATCCATCCATCCATCCACCCATCCACCCATCAATCCACCCACCCACCCACCCATCCATCCATCCATCCACCCAGTCATATGTTGAGCACCTATCTTTGGCCAGAACAATACCATATGGAGGGAACAAATGTGACGCAGTGGCTCCTGCCTGCAGAACCAGCAGTAAATCCTTTGTTTTCTACAACAGTAAGTTCCCATGCTTCCTTGCTTCTCAGTCCACAGCCTGAAACTCACTATGTGAATCGGTCTGACCCTGCAACAGGTCTGACCCTCTAATCACAGAGACCCACCTGCCTCTGCCTCCTGAGGGCTGAGGGTTGGGGTGAAAGGTGTGTGTCACCTCACCTGGGCTTTGCATCTTTTTTTTTCAACAATCTTATCCAAGACATGTCATGTTCTTCTGCAAGGAACATCTCTGGCCAAATGACTTACTATGAGAAGCATAAAAAAAAAAAAAACAGCCTAAGAATACTGTCCCCATTGTCCCCAGTCCTCAAAATGCCCCCACCAGCACAGACTGATTTAGATGTGAAAGTAGCCCTAGATCCATCTTGTCCAACCCTCAGTTAAAAAAAAAATTTTTTTTTGAGGCAAAAGCTCATGTAACCAACAATAACCATAAACCTCTGATCCTCCTGCCTCCACCTTCTAACTACTAGAATTCCATATGTGAACTACCATAGCTGGTTTTACACAGTACTGGGAATAAAACCCCGGGCTTCATGCGTATTAAGCAAACGCTCTATCAACTGAGCCACATCTCAAGTCCGATCCCTTTTTTGATAGATGGGTATCTGAGGGTCAAAGAAGGCACACCCTGCCCAAGGGTTGCCCTCACTCCAGGTCCTTCCCTGCTTCAAGGAGTTGGCACCAGCTACTTCATTGACACATTCTGGTGTGGCTGTGTTAATCGAACCTAACAGATGATAGGGCCAGAAGGGCAGGCAGGTCAGCTGTGAGCACACACAGCTGGCTCAGGCGCCTGTGAAGAGAACGGAGTTCACGCTGCTGAGCCCACGAAAGGATTCCCAGACGGAAAGGCCTGCAGCTCCTGCAGACGCAAGGTGCTCAGGCAGATTTCACTGGCAACCCCAGCTGTAATACCTCCACCATCTGCAATCAGCGGGCAGCCAGCGAAGGTTCGGGAAGAGCCTGCCCCATGGCACAGAGCAGTGTAACCATTGCACGGGGCAAGTCTCTCAGAGGACACTCGATACATATCCACTCCTTTTGTCCTTTTCATGGTACAACAAGATCTCTATGAGCATGAAATCAAACGGATGCGTCATCAGGAACTCTGAAAGGTGAAGCATCTCATCGCTTGGAAAGAAAGAGGTGGGCGGTTGGGTGCGTCCGCTGTAGCTGATTCAAACCCACTGGGCAACAAGGCCTTAAATCAAAACCGGCTTGTGAGGGACGCCAGCCGGACCCCTTTTTGGCAGAAAGTGTGGTCCCACGGCGCCCTCTGGTGTCCATCTTTTTAGATGGTTAGGAAGAATATAGGCTCTGGCTTACACGCCCGGGGTTTCCTAACCTTGATCAGGTGGGCAAAGTGCACTCTGGGCTAGTGACACTTTCGACAGGAAATATGCCGAGAGACCACCGAAGGCGGCCTCATCACCGTCATAGGATGGCGACGGACCTGATGAAACGGGAAAGTCCAGCCATGGAGGTTGCAGCGCGCCATTCGGGTGAGAAGGCCAGAAGAAGCCTGAGCTAATGGGCCAATCAGTTTATAACTAATATAGGCTTCTGTGCGATTCTTCGGGACCTCACGACTGTGGGAACTGGGCAGGACAGAAACCCCAACAAGCAGGCCCTCGTGTTTCAATTTCCCTCTGTATGCTGTGATTACCATTAATGAATAAAGAAAACTGGCTTGGCCTGATAGGGTAGAACAGAACTAGGTAGGGAAAACTAAACTGAATGCTTGGAGAAGGAAGGCAGAGTGGGGGGGGGGAGCCATGGAGCCGCCATCGGAGACAGACACACAGACACGCTGGAACCTTGCCAGTAGGCCACAAGCCTCGTGGTAAAAAATAAAATAATGGAAATGGGTTAATTCTAGGTGTAAGAGCTAGCTAGCAATACGCTTAAGCAATTGGCCAAGCAGTGATTTAATTAATACAATTCTGTGTGGTTAGTTTTGGAGTCTAGGCGGCTGGGAACACACTAGCAGCCTCATTCTACACTGTGCCATTGTATGCTGAAAGTATGGCGATCTGCTTTTTGATTTTGATTTTGATTTTACAGGGGATTACAGTTAAGAGATTGCCTTGCGTCTCAGAAGGGATTTTGAACTTTGGATTTTAGACATTGTTGAGACTGTGATAGACTATGACTTTTGAAATTGGACTGAATGCCCTTTGAATCATGATATTGTTAAAAAGCGTTTAGGTGCCAGTGAGTGGAACGGCTCCCAAAGGGAGAGGCACTAGTAAAGGGTGTGGCCTGGCTGGAGTAGCAGTCTTGTTGGAGAAAGTGTTGGGCTCTGAGGTCTTCTTGACTCAAGCTACACTTGCAGTCCTGTTGACTGCAAGATATAGAACTCTCAGCTCCCTCTCCAGCAGCATGTCTGCCTGCACGCCACCATGTCCCATGATGATAACGGACTAAACCTCTGAACTGTAAGCGAGCCACCACAATTAAATGGTTTCCTTTGTAAGAGTTGCTGTGGTCATGGTGTCTCTTCACAGCAATAGAAACCCTAATGAAGACACTTAGCTACATCCCAGATCAGCCTCCCTCCCTCCACATCTGGGCTTCTTTGGAATCCCACCTTAAGGTCAGGCCTCGTTTTATGGTTATCAGTCCCTCAGGTTTTTTTTTTTTTTTCAACTGAGACTGCTAATGTGATTAAAGTCTGTTTGCCTGAGGAAGTTTCCGCGTCTCGTTTCTTTGTTCAGATTCCCATAACAGCGTGTGCACAGATGTGTGCCTGGGTAGGAGCAGGGTGGAGGGCGGCTAGATGGATGGGTCTATCACCGATGGGTAGAAAGCTCCAGGACAGATGAAGGGATGGATGGATACATGGGAAAATGAAACAAGGAGCTACATGGCGGCTTTGGGTGTGTGGGTGGGTGGGGGTGTATGTGAATATTTCATAGCTTTTCTCTCCAATTTTGATGCGAGCATCTGGATTGGTTTTGCTTTTATTCCTACTGTGCCCTTGACACAAACTGCCCTGTGTTTTGTTTTTTGTTTTGTTTGTTTGTTTGTTTGTTTGTTTTGATTTTTTGAGACAGGGTTTCTCCGTAGCTTTTGGTTCCTGTCCTGGAACTAGCTCTTGTAGACCAGGCTGGCCTCGAACTCACAGAGATCCGCCTGCCTCTGCCTCCCGAGTGCTGGGATTAAAGGCGTGCACCACCACCGCCCGGCCCACAAACTGCCCTGTTAAATAACTTGCTGAATAAGCTATTATAAGTCACAAATGGAATTCCTGAGTTAATTAATAAGCCTAATTATAACATCATGACATTCATCTGCCGCTTTGTAGCCCTTTGCAGTTGGGGCCAGAAGGCTCGATACTTCATTAAAGCATATTCTTTCTGCCCAGGATGCTGTAGAGAGAAGCTAGCTATGGTCAAGTGGCAGGCAGACACCCCCATTCTCCACTGTCTTCATCCTACCTGCTGATACCCTCTTTGATTTCTACCATGTCACTTCTTGGTTCCCCACAAATCCTCAGCACTTCTTTATGGTCCACGAGCCCCTGGCATTGAAGGCTTGGTACTGTTAGATCACAGGCTTGTCCTTTAAAGACAGCTGTCACTCTAGGAGGCCATATCTCACAGCCTGAAGAAATCAATCAGGCCTCACGCCACCACGGGTCTCCCTGTGACAGTTAAGAAGCCAATCTATGCTGTAGTTTTGACGGCATAGTTTATGGTCCTACCTGAACCTTGTGCCTCCATTCTAAGATCATGCAGGCTAATCCCATGAATCATGCAGGCTATCCCAGACTAACTCGTGCCACAGAAAGCTCCCTGCCAGCCCCTGAAAACTTGGGAAAGTCACACATGCCCTTTGTGTGTAGATTTCTCTGACAGCACCCACACTGACAGGATCTCCAGCCACCAAGGTGGCGCTCTCCCTCTTCTCCCTTTAAGCCTGTTAGAAAGCTCTCT